CATGAAGGTCCCTTTGTTAACTGCGCAGGCCGGGCGAGCCGCAGTGTGCGAGAAGCCTTGAGTTGCAGCCAAGAGCCGCCCAGCGGTTTCGAGTTCGGGGGTTTAGAGTTTACGGCCAAAGAGGTCTATGCAAGTTGAGATTCCTTCTGAAATTCCACCATAGCCCTATTCTGACTATTAAAGCTCTTGTCTCAGGGTTTGTCGGATTCTACAAAGGCTTTCGAGGGCTTTTTTGGGCTTAACGAGAAGGTGCTAAGTATCTACAATAGATCGAACAAAGGCGCCTTTGTGTAGGGTTTAGGTTTTCAGTTAAGGGCTGCCGGAAGAGTTTCAGAGTTATAGCCTTTATCATCATCTACTTGGGCGCGTCCCTGCAAACAGCTCTACCAAGGCCACAAGATGCTGCGTTTGCCGAGGATGAGGAGCTATCATAGTACTTGAGGTGAATCTCTACGCTATTGAGTAACGTGTCTTGGGAAGTAGACAAAGCTTCCTTAGAATTCCAGCTGCAGAGGGGGCACTGGCAATCACAGGCCGTAGACATGTCAAGAACGCTTTAAAAGGGCCAAGAACATGCCAGGAATGAGGGCGTGCGAGAACTTCGAAACTGGACACTTTTATGCCGCAGTTCTGTGAGAGTTGCAGGACTTACGCTTTCCGCTGCAACCACAACTGGTCGCTCTTGCGAACAGGCGGGGGTTTCAAGTATGGCTCCCTACAATAGAGCATCCTCCTGACAAGGCACCGAAAATAGGGCAGCCTCATATAACATCCGCAGAAGGACCGCGAAGTAAGGCATCCCCCATTTCTGAGACTCCTTGGTCTCTTGGTTGTTCGATTGTAAGGTTTGCATGGGGTTTGAGGCTCTTGCGTGGTTTAGGCTTTAAGATGGAACCCACTTGTTGTTGGTGCTGTAGTTGCTTTGTGTCGCGTTATCGGTGTCGTTGCGCGGACCCAGGAAGCCAGTGAGTGAGAGAACCCCGGCCCCGCCGTGACGGAAAAAAGAAATGCGCCCCGGGGACGACAGCAGAAACAACAACGGGCCCCTGCAACGGCGAAAAACAAAAACGCCTTTCGGGGACGACAGCAAACAAGCCACGACCGCAAGACAAATTCACTCTAACAGTGTGTTTTGTTGTTTTGCTGTAGTTGCTTTATGTTGTGTTTTTGCTGTCGTTGCGCGGACCCAGGAAGGTGAGAGAACCCCGGCCCCGGCACGACAGGTGCCCTCGCAACGAAGGAAACGAACAAACAAGCGCCCCGGGGACAGCAGCAGCAAAATGGCAACGACAGCACTCTTACCGGTTTAAGATGGTTTAGGGTTTGGGGTTGATTACCCTAAGGGTCCAAGTCCCTAGCTCTCAAAGACTTCCCCAGATCTTCCACAAGTTATCCGGCCGTTCGGACAGTTTAAACTTAGGGTTAGGATCTGAGGCTGAGAGGTTTAGCTGGGCCTTGAGAAACCGACCGCTCTTGGAGCTCCTTGTTCTGACTTCGCTATATAATTAATACTTTAAAGTGTTTTGGGGTTCGCCTAATATTCCCTTATTGTCCTTCTTAGAATGAGGCAGAAATGAGAAAGAGCAAAGCTAACCCTTTTTTCGTTAACATCTTGATCTAATTCAACCGCTATGCGAACACACCTCCGGCCAAGCGGGCTTGGGGGCAATGAGGTCTTACGTTCAACGAGACAGGCAGCAGAGAGGAGCAGCCGCCCCCTACATCTGGACACACCCTCTATCCCTCACTTACCCGCATCCTCCGTAGCCCCGTACCCCTAAACCCTAAAGGGGTGTTCGGGAATATAGAGGGACAGGGGGGTATGGAGCCAGGGCGAGGTTCCACCGACACTCCCCACGCGCACCTCCCATACCCCACAATACCCCTGTCATCCCTAAATCCCACCATCGGCGCCTTTACCCCCTCACTGCCTTTGCCTGCCCAGCAGTGCCATCCCACCACACCACCCCCGTCCCCCACCCCAACCATCCCCCATCGCAAGCAGTGTCCCTTCATGCACCCCGACACAGACAACAGCACCAACAGCGACAACGGCAGCAACACCTGCGACACCACCAACAACGACCAACCGACGTACCAATCAGCCCGCCAACCAACCCTCCAACCAACCAACCGACGCACTAAATTCCACTACTCAAACACTCAAAAGCCTATGGGAAGATTGCAATCCAAGTGGCCCAAAATGGACACAAGAGTCAGTGGTAAGTGGGAGAGCTGAGAGCTGAGAGCACGGGTGGATACTAAATCTAGGCACCTCGGAAGCCTCGGCGGATTAAAAGGAATGCAATGCACGCGTGAATCAGGCAAAAGGTGAAATCAAAGTGGAACGAACGACAAGAAAAGAAACAAAATCATGCTTTCGCTGGCTTTCACTTCATTACTTCAATTTTTGTTTTTCATATGTTCCTCCATTTCGTTCCATTTTGCTTCGCTTCATACTGTAATCAGCACATGGATTGTGTGTAACGAAAAGACAAGACACGGAAGACACGAAAGCAATGTGGTGACAAGTAAGGAACCACATCGAGGAAGGTTTTGCAGGCCAGAATAGGAACACCCTGCAATTCGGAGGGTGTAGAAGCGCGGGTGCTGAAACGGTCATGACACTCCGTAACGAGGGTTATACAGATGTAACTGACTTGTACTTACCTAGAGCCGTTTACAACGCGTCTAAGGCACTTCGAAGTTGCTTTCTTTACTTATCTTACCAAGTCCCATGATTCTCATTCTCCGAGAGCCGCAGTCAGCACGGCTTCCTAGTGACTCGCCCGAGGCCGATGAAAGCCGGGAAGACTGGTAGCAGAACTCAGACCATGAAGAGTCCATCATCGCCAACAGCGATGCCGGTCGCTTGGACGCCATGACCTAAACCCGAAACCCTACACAGAAGCCGTAGACCATAGTGGCCCTAATGCTGTGCGTTCAAGCCTGTTGATTCTTCGTCCACTTCGTCCAGCTAGTATAGTACTGTGTCTTTGCCGCGGTGGCTACTCTCGCTTACATGTCCTCCTGAACACAAACCTACACCCCTAAACCCATTAAGCCACCTAAACCCGAACCCCCACCCTCCCTAAACGCCCCCGTGGCCTTCAACCCCAAACCCCCTGAAGCCTAATCCGTCTTTGAAGCTGCGAAGCGAGGAGCGCAAATCACGATGGATTTTGTATCCATACTCTAGGTGCCGTCTGCCAGAGCCTCAGTTAACCCTTTAGGGATTTGGTGTTCAGGGGTTAGTGGTTTAGGGTGTGGGGGTAAACCCTACCTATTGTCGCCATTGTCGTTCCTTTTTCTGGTTTAACCAATTCAACAGAGAGGATCCTGTAAGGTCACCGAAGCAACTTCAATGGAGACTGAGGTAAGTCGTAGTGTTTCGGTTTAGGGTTTAGAATGGTCAGAGTCGGCCTGAGTTGGACATGCTGGTCCAGTGCATAGGCCTTGGCATGTGCAGTGTGGCTCGACGGTTGGGGATTAAGCACAGGCAGGATACCAATACACAGTGCACCCCAAACCCCTTAAACCCTCAGACCAAGATGCCGCCCCAACATCCCCCAAACCCCCAGGCCGTTACATTACACCAGCTGCTACCCCCAGAGATCCCACCGGGCCATGCAAGGAGTTGCCCGGGTTTTGAGGGTTTCGGGTATAGGGTCAGGGCTTGGGGTTGGGGGTATACAGTTCCAATCTTTATGTGTCAGCAGTACAGAGACTTTATCATGAAGAATCGGCCATTGCAGCGCCTCTGTGCGGCTGTGCAGGTTTGATAGGGTTAGGAGGCCCAGGCCTACTAGTTGATTTGCAGTATAGTATACTTCTAGATCGGATACCGCAGTATAGGGATTGAATGACTAGACTAAAAGGGGACATTGCCGGTTCCTCAGCCCCCTATAGAAGGTATGCCAGCTGGAATCGGTAGTTCTTTGCTTACAGACTACACCGACGGACCCGTTGCGTAACTTTGGTTGAAACGCTTTGAGGTTTGACATTCCTACACCAAGCCCGTGGTGATCCCGAATTCCACTGCTTGTGATCCTTAAAACCTACAGATGGTGCTGCTTGTTGGCACCCAGGTGCTGGGATGCCCTCACGCTCATCGTCCTGTTGCAGGACATGCTTCTGAGCCCCCTCCATGCACCTTGTCATCCAAAGGCCAAAGTATGTATGAGACCAGCACATGCAGCCGCAAAAGAGTCACAGAGATTTCAGCCATTTTCGCAGGTGCTTGACATGGACACTGCAAACCCCAAACCCTAAACCCTAACCCTACAGGTGTTTGACGTGGACGCTCACCAGAGGAGGATGCATAACTCTTGGATTCTGGTCTCCGATGCCTTCTGGTCGCTGGAGACTTGTCGTTGTTGCAGCTCAGAATCCACACAACACGCAAGCCTCAGAAGCTTTTTTCTCGTTGGTTGCAGTCAGTTTCGATACCCGTTTCCATTCAGCTGATGTATACTGGACATAGTGGAGACTACGATTCAACGAAGCGATTCCACTGGCTTTTCGGAGCAAAGCCCTGTTGAAGCACAACTGCGAGAACCAGCAACCTTTGGAAGCTTCTTACCCGAAGGGGCCAAGTACTAGTTCTCTTGACTCCTCCGGACACCGCAAAGCTACTAGTTATCCCAAACCCAAGTACCTAATTTGTGGATCCTTTGCACACTTAGTGGTAGTGGAAAAGGCAAGCCATTGAGCTGAGGACGTGGTGCTATCTTTCTTCACGGCCGTGTATGTAGCCCGGCGTGGATGCGGTTGCGAAGCTCCGAGAGTTCAGGTGATGTTAGCATCCACAAATTCAAGTGCTCCTGGCAAAGACAGATGTTTTCGCGTAGCTTCGAGTTGGACGGCGTGGTGTTTGGGAGGGGAGGGGGGAGAAGTATATCTTGGTTTTGGCGTTGTATATAAGACGTTGATGAAGAGTGCCAGCTGCAGCTGCACGGGCGCAGTATTTTCTAAGCAGCGGCGCAGACATGACTGGCAGACTCAGTGGCAACAGCAGCAGTCCGATCAAATCTGACCAGACCCGCAGCATTTAGTGTTGGGATGTTTTGGGGGAAGTGAGTGTGCACGATGACGACGACTTGTACCACATGAGAACCACCTTAGGGCCCAAGGGATGGCAACAGACGGATCACTATTAGCCAACTTCGAGAATCACGGGACTCAGTACAGAAAGTGAGAAGTTCCTTAATGAGGCTGTACGTCGTTATGAGCAGTAACCCAAGCTACGAAATGCCATGATCCTGTATGTAAGCTGTCAAGGTATGTTTCCGAAGTCTTAAGGTTAACTACCCTTTCAAGAGACCCTTGATTCATAAAGGCTCCTTTCTTGAACAGGGGCTCAGGGTCAGCCGCAAGCTTTCCAAGGTTGACGGCAGGTTGGTGCAGGATGGCGTGGGCATTGCGAAGGCCTGCAGGTCCAACACAGAGGTCGAACTGGAAACAGCTAGCAAGATTTTCCTTAGGGCTCAGCTTTGGTATAACATACCCCAGCCCTTCGAGACATTAGAACCCGTCTGAAGGCCTGCAGTCATTAGGAGCCAAGGGAAGCACCCAAACAAAAGCGTTGCTGTGGGCTACTGGTTGTGAGCTGCCGGCCGCAGTGGTGGTGGCGGGGGCGGTGGTGGTGTTGTATGTGCGTCCCTACTGCAGGTCTGCTTCAGCAGCCAGAACCACTCAGAACCACTTGTAGAAATACTTAATTGTCGGCCATGTTCTTCCCATAATCTAATGACTTGTTCCACTTGTTTTTCTTTCCTGAACCTAGCTACGCAGTTATCAACCCACCAAGTCTCTTCACATCGTTGCGAAGGCCTACGTGACGTCGTGGATGCCTTTTGACCTCTGCATCCTCGTCCCAGAGCCCTGCCTGGAGTGTGACGAAAATCACGCTATCCAAGAAGTACTCTCTTACCCTTTCTGTTTCGGGTCTCCTTACTAGAAGCTGAATAACTATTTGGAAATAGTAGGAAACAGGGCACCCTTCTTAATCAAGCGGCTAGCCAAATAGAAGGCCCCGGCAATGGTGCCAGCATCCCACTCGTTAAGGACGTGACTAGCAGGTGCGCGGTTCAAGTTTTAGGGAGTTCTAGGAGCCGCAGCAGCAGCATCATCTGTAAAAATCAGCCCTTCGGCCAGGCAAGCCATATACCCTTAATTGTATACTTCAAGGACTATGGGGCTGAGTAAGTAGGGTCAACAATTCAGATACTTAGAGAGGGTCCATATACACTACTGTTGTGGAATCATGGTCCCCCAAACTATAGCAAGGGTGGTGTTTGGGACCAAGCTGCAAAATGGTAGGGTATACATATATATATATATATACATATTCACATATTGCTAATGTCTACATACACACACACACACACACACACACCCACCCTCTGGGGTAAGCAAGGCCCCTTCCCTGAAGTTTCAAACGGTTTAGGGTGTGGGGTTTAGGCTTCGAACGCATGGTCTCTGCGCCAAGGATTGGCTGTCTGTTCTCCTCTCAGACCGCGACTCATGGCTTTATTTTCTAGGCCGATGGGTGGGCGTGCTTGTACTGCTTTAAGGTTAGCGCGGGGGATGCCATGGGTGCGGAGTTTCGGCTACTGTTTTGTGAGGAGCACAACGGAAGGCAACTGGACACTAGCGCATGAAACGGTAGCTTCCATCGTCTTAGCATTTGACAAAGAAGTTCGTTTCGAAGACTTAAACCCCAACCCCTGAAACCCAACCCGATGCCCTAAACTTACAGAGCTTGATTTCAGAGCAGGTGTCATGCGCTTCGTGCGCGCCGGACGGCTGCTTCGCCTTCTGCGCTTCCTTCGATTACTCCGCGACTCAGCTTCACTCAGGAAACCCTGGCTGTCCATGTGCCCGCAAAGAATACGCGAAATTATGATAACCTCCTGAAGGCTTATGTAAGTATATGCAGAAAACATGTCGGCACATGGACCCGAAATCACAAGAGCCGCCTGCATGCCTGCCTTTTCAGGCGGCACTCCATAGCCTTCTTGATGACGTCCTTGCTGGCTCTGCGGGTTTGGGCAGACCACCTTGGACCAACCCCAGGTTCGAACCAGCATTTGACCCCGAGTTCAAAAGCAGATTCAAACCCAGGTCCGAAGCTAGGTGCAAACCCCTTAGACCACAGTGGCTAGGGTGATGTGAGGGGTTCCAGGTGCCAAGGATCTGGCACAGAGCTGCCGTGAAACACTCTCGGAAACATCGGCAATACACTCTCACAGTCTCCTGTACCAGTACCTGTAAGCACCGCTAACATGGAAGCCTATAAATATTAAGTAAGACTACTACCTGACAGGTCTTGTTATCATACTAGACTCTGTACTAAGCCCCGCTAGTAACCTTTGTAGAACCCTGTCAAAGGAACTCTACATGAAAACTTAGGGGCTGGGGGTGAAGCCGAGAGCATGGGGTGAAGAGGTGTCCAAGGGCTTCGATTTAGTGTTTAGCCATACGCATCAGCCATCCTAAACTTAAACCCAAGGGCCCCAAACATGGGGTTTCGAAACATAGGAGTGTAGCGTCTTGGTTTGGCAGCGAGAAAAGCTAGCAGACACTGGCATGGTAAACAGCAAATTTTCACAGTGTAGAGTTAAGGCTTTAGGGCATGTGTTTTGTGGGCTTAAGTCTAAAAATTTGGGGTTGAACGCTTAAGCGTAAAGAGGCGCGAGCAGCCGACTTCCTTCAAGGGAAGTGGTACGGCCCTAACTGCCGTGTAGCATTACGAGATATAATTTAGGGACCGGAATGGTAAAAACAATGCGTTCCTTTGTAGTGCCGGCATAACTATACTTTTCCTACAGATTAGCCACAGCCCTATTCTGAGAATTAATTCCGATATTGGCTTCTTAAGGTCTTACGACATGTTCTGTTTTTTCGTTGAAGGTCTTTCTACACGACAGACAAACCCTCACTCACCCCAAGTGTCCAAGCACACAACATCAGAAACCCTGCTAGAAACCCTAAACCCTATTGCTCCCATCCTTCAGCTGTTCTTCCCTTCAGGCCCCCGTGTCAATTAAGAAACCCTCAACTTGGCAGTAGACTCGCCATAGACAGTATGCAATTCCGCATAGCAGTCTTGCAGTTCTATGTGTGAGATCACGCTTATCGTCCCCGTGTTCGGCACTGGATCTAACTTGATCGCAGAATCACTAGGGTAGATTCTCCATCACAGTCTCTGCCAAATTCTTCACCGCAAAATCGAACCTGTGCTCTGATAGATGCAAGGAGTCTTGAAGATCAAGCAGGCGATGCAGTCCTTCATGCTGCGTGGGTTTTCAGGCACCCTGGCTTGTACATGGGGTTCCGTGTTCAGCAGCAGGAGGAGGAGTAGCAGTGGTAGTAGCACTAGTACTAGTAGTAGTAGTAGTAGTAGTAGTAGTAGTAGTAGTAGTAGCAGTAGGAGTAGCAGTAGTAGTAGTAGTAGTAGTAGTAGTAGTAGTAGTTGTAGTAGTAGTAGTAGTAGCAGTAGCAGTAGCAGTAGCAGTAGCAGTAGTAGTAGTAGTAGTAGTAGTAGTAGTTGTAGTAGGCACCCCCCCCCTACCAACTACACTTGCTCTCAACCATGTTAAGACAACATCCATTTTACTCGGTATTTACGGCACTTTCGTCATGTGCGATCATCCTAAGAGGCCCAAAAATCGACTTGTCGAGTTTGCAAACTCGGGCTCTTGATTTTGGACTTGCTTCTGGCGGTGGGTGGGGGGGTGGGGGGGGGGATGATGACGACAGTGTTACGCGAACACACCCAGCAGTATCACCACAAGAGCCGTTTGACTCGGTATTTACGGTACTTTCGTGATGTCAGACTTTGTTACATATTCTGAGCCCTACTTCTCGACTATGCGTATTAAACTTTGCTCTTTGGAACTGTTTGCAAAAAAACTCGAAATTGGGTGGGGGAAAGCTTCTTCGGGGATGATCACGACACTGTCTTGCGGACACCCTGAACAATATTTCCACACTCAAGCGCGCACACACCACACACACCACTTCAAAAACAGACCCTCCTACGCAGAGGTTGGGCGGTAGGGGTGTTGGCGAGCCCCTCCCACGTACAGCTGGCATCTTTGTTTTTGATGTTCAGAAGATGTTGCGCTTCAGGTTTTAGAAACGTTAAACCCTTGTTGGCAGCACCTGGGTTTTGCACGGTATTTACAGCGTTTTCGTACTATCCGACCACCTGGGGTTTATCAGTTTCTTCCCCGTCGAGCTTGCAACTCCAGCTGCTGTGGCAGTTTTGGGGCCTGAGCCCCTGCAACTTCACCGGCTGTGACAGTTAAGGAAACTGAGCCTCTGCAACTTCTGCAGCTGTCACAGATAAGGAGCCTGAGCCCGTGCATCTTCTGCAACTATCGCAGTTAAGGCGCCTAGCAGTTATCGCTGCCCAGCCCGGATGGAACAAGTGTAGTTGGGAGGGGGGGGTGGCTAGTAGTAGTAGTAGTAGTAGTAGTAGTAGTAGTATTAATAGTAGTAGTAGTAGTAGTAGTAGTAGTAGTAGTAGTAGTAGTAGTTGTTGTAGTAGTAGTAGTAGTAGTAGTAGCAGTAGCAGTAGCAGTAGCAGTAGCAGTAGTAGTAGTAGTAGTAGTAGTATTAATAGTAGTAGTAGTAGTAGTAGTAGTAGTAGTAGTAGTAGTAGTAGTAGTAGTAGTAAGAAGTAGTAGTAGTAGTAGCAGCAGCAGCAGGAGTAGTAGTAGTAGTAGTAGTAGCAGTAGTAGTAGTAGTAGTAGTTATTGTAGTAGTGGTAGTAGTAGAAGTAGTAGTAGTAGTAGTAGTAGTAGCAGCAGGAGTAGCAGTAGTAGTAGTAGCAGTAGTAGTAGTAGTAGTAGTAGTAGTAGTAGGTGTAGTCGTAGTTGCTGCTGTCGTTATTGTAATCGTTCTGTTTGTGGTGGTGATGGTGGTCGTGGTTCTGGTAGTAGTGGGTCAACAGGGCTGTGCAGGGGGGTTACAGCAGCCCGCTGGCGACAACGACGACGAGTACTACCACCTGCCTACTACTACCTACCACTACTCACTACTACTGTCACTACTGCTAGTGCTACTGCTATTGCAATTACTGCTGCTGCTACTACTACTCCCACTATCTAATACTACTGCTACTACTGCTACTGAAATACTTGTAACTACAGTAGTGCTGCTGCCGCTACCGCGACTGCGACCGCGATCGCGGTTGCTTTTGCTGCTGCTGCTGCTACTGCTACTGCTACTGCTACTGCTACTGCTACTGCTACTGCTACTACTACTACTACTACTACCCCTGCTGCTGCTGCTGCTGCTACTACTACTACTACTACTACTACTCCTGCTGCTGCTGCTACTGCTACTACTACTACTACTACTTCGATATGTTCACTATCAGGTCGTCGCTGTACAGCTTCACTATGGGGCCACTCCTGATATGGGGCATTACCGAACTATACTACGAGGACAGCCGCTGTTTGGTGCAGAAAAATGGTGGATCACTGATGACTCCTGCACAGCCAAGTCAGTTGGCACAGAACATGATGGCAACATATATATAGTGTGGCTTCGTCAGGTACTTCCACCTGGAGCCTGATGCCGAGCAAGTGTAGTCTTAGTGGATGGAGCTGGCACTGCCCTCCAGAACCCAACAGAGGTTCCGATACCCCGAATACCAGGCTATCGTCAGCTCGCTAGGCGAATCTGGATACTTTCGCTGCGTGGTGAATGAATACTACTACTACTACTACTACTACTACTACTGCCACTGCCACTGCGGCCATCGCCGCTGCCACTGCTACCGTACCACCAGCAGCAGCAGCCCCACCACCACCACCACCACCATCACCACCATCACTATGACATTGATGATGACAGCGGCGGCGGCGAAAACGACGACCTCTTTGACGATGACGGCGACAACGACGACTGCCGCCAATGCCACCACCAGCACCACCACCGACAACACTAGCGCCACCAGCGCCAGCAGCACCACCAGCAACACAAGCACCAGCACCACTACCAACGCCACCACCATCACCGCCACCACCACCAACAGCAGCAGCAGCAGCAGCCACAACAGCAACACCAACAACAACAAAGAAGCCAACAACAATGACATCACCGACGACAATCCCAACCACAACGACAACAACAACAACCACATCATCAACAACACCAGCAGCCGCAACCACAGCAATGATAGCAACAACAGAAGCAGTAACAATGACAACACAGCCCCAGCCACAGCCACCACAGCCACCACAGCCACAGCCACCACCACCACCGCCACCACCACCACCACCATCACCACCACCGAAAGCACCAACATCACCAGCATCTCCCCAGCACCATAAGCAGCACCGACACTGCACTGCTGGTAAGTCCGGTCTTGCTTAATGGCAGCGGGGTATTGCGACACATCGTCCACGTCCTGCTACTGCGATTCGTAACGTTCTCAGGCAGCTCCTGGCGATTTGTTCTTGGCGTGAGCAAGTATGTTGCCAGCATGGCGTACGGCTTGTCGCACGGCAAGATTTTGGCCTTTTGTGGAGTTCATACTCAGGGTGAAAGGGCTATGATATGAATATAGTTCGTCCCTGCAATGTGTCAGTGTCAGACTCTCTCTTGGTTCGGGCGCTTTGAATGGGGACGGCAATACGCTGAGGCATTTGCTCACATGCCTCTGGTACTGGGTGGGAAATGTGCCGGATGGCTGGGTGCAGGAGGAAGACTTGCGTCTTGGTCCTGCAGATATTTCGAAGAAGAGGAGCTGTTACTGCTTGCGTTGGTGTCCGGCGTGTGCAGAGACCTGGCTCTTGCCGTTTCCTGCACCAACGTCTCAACCGCTGAACACAAGTCGGGAACAGTTGAGAGCGAACAACCTTTTGAGGGCCGTGCCTCTGCTTGGGCACCTGAGGACTGCACAGCCCTTGTCATCGATGTATTTCGCATCTTTGACTTTAACATTGTCAAGGCTTCCAGCATCATCGATGAGATGGAACATGACTCTCGAGACAGGACCGGGATTTTGTGGATTGGGGTTCAGGGGTGGGTTGGGAGGCTTAGGGTTTGAGCAGATCAGATTATTAGCAGCTCTCTGTCAAGATCCGGACCTCGATATCCCTGATCAGATCTCCGAGGCTGTCGTAAGTGAGATGTGCCCATGTCGTATCAACAAAGTTTCTCCAAACGTCACCAGAAAGGAACCCCTGCAATGCAACACGAACCATAAACTATGCAGCTTCAAGACCCTTTAGGGAAACAAGCAGCGTGAAGAAGCTGCCAAGTAACAAACCGGCCCAGATGGCGAACGAACGTTGGCCATCATAGCCACCTTCATGGCGTTGGGAATGTCATCTGTTTGCATCAGCAAGCTGACCAACGTGATGGCAAAGTGGCAGAGTCTCAGACATCAGAAGCATCAGATTGTTCAACAGCTCCGGAGTTATTGTGCGACCCACGGGGTCGATGCATCGCATGTCCTGAGTATGAAGAAGTACGCCGAGCGGGAGCTTGCACGAAAGGCTGCGAATGAGGCCCATGCCAACTTGCTAGAGACTTTTTCCAGCAGCATGCTGAGAAGCCTTCTCCACCAGTCTCGCCGTTCTTTCCTGTGCTACCACAAGGAGTTTGCAAACTGGTGTGCCAAGTCGGAGATTTTTGAGTACAGTATATGCAGCAAGGCCATAACCGAGCAACATTTAATGCGGCATGACTGCATCTTCATGCCGTCAGACCACGCGGAAGGCATGTATTTGATGGCCACGGCATCCGAGTCGCAGTTGAGCAGCTTTTGAGGTATGGGGTTTAACAGGGCTTTTCTTCCTGTCAACTCTGGCGGTAGCTTCCCTAAACACCTGGGCAGGGCACAGTGATAAAGTGTAATCAGCAATAATGTTCATGCGAGTGATGTTGGATTTTAAAGCCGAGGTTCAGTGCTCTTATGCATTCGAGAGCCTTGGGGTGATGCCGCGGTTTGGAACAAATCCCGGTTCCCATTCTGGGCCGAGGCAACGAGAACCCTAAGCTCCAAGCCCTAAACCTTTGAACCCACGAAAGCGGCTCCTTTGCAGGAGGCGCTTGAGTCCGTTGCGTAAATCTACTGGTAAATCCTCCAAATCCGAATCTGGATGTTTAGGCCCCTATATGGATCGTTACAGCATGCAATGATGTGCCTGCCTTGGAAGTGGTTTCCCAATTGGGTTGGAAGTGCAGCAGGGCATCTTACAGCGAGCTTATGTCGTGAACACATGAAGGTTAAGTAAACGCTAAACCATGCATGGAGGTGCTGCTTGTGGCGTTTCTTGAGTAAGCCGATGGATGAGATCGAGGAGACTATTTTGAGGGATTTCGTTTCCTTCTGGAAGAAACACTTATGTGGGTGCCTTACGGTTTCAACCGACTTCTTCATCAGGTTTAGTTACATGAGGAGGTGTCTGTGTGGTTTTTGGGGATTTCACCTTATTGGTCCAGGAGAATGTGGTCCATCTTGAGCTTGAGCGAGGAGACTACATCAGCGAGCACGCGCTGTGGATTGCAGGTTGGCATCACCAAGAGCCCAGGGAAGCGCCACAACAGTCAACCCATGAATTAGGAGTAATCGTTTCCCCCTAACATTAAATGGTCGGGGCCCCCCCCCTTCGCCCTAAATAAAAACTCGAGAATGTTTTTATATTTAGGGGGCTGTTGTTATCTCACATCCTGGTTATACCTAGTTTTACCCCACCCATGAACCCAGAGACTCCAAAACCCTTGAATTAAGGAATATTGCAAAAATATAGTGGCATCCCCCATAATCATGATTTTAATAATTATTTACGGTTGAAAATACAAGTAAATAAAAGAATATTCATTCGATAAAGAAACCAAAGCAAGTTGTGTTGGACAAGTCTGCACATGTAGTCAATGCCAGAAACTTGGAAATATGAAATGCTTATAATGACTGCAGTTTTTCCTGATGCCGATGAGCTTGATGAATTTGATAAATGAAGATAAGCTTGATGTTGGGAACTTGCACCAGCGAGGGTTTCGGTGGGTTTGCGCGGTTTTCGGCGGGTTTGGTTGTGCTCTTGGCGGTTTTTGGTCATTTCAAATTTCGATTCTGGATGGGGAAAGGGCCCAAGGGGACACCGTCAAAATTGGGCCTGCGACCGTGCCCAAACCACCTATCGAGGCAGCCGCCAACCCTCAGAACTATCTGGCCATGGCCTGATGGGTAAACGTCTGCCTCCAAAGCCCTTCTACCAAAAATCATCAACTCAATCCCCAAAATTCATTTGGGCCCTTTCCCCACCGGAATCGAGATTTTGGGGTGACCTGAAGCTCTGGGCTCTCTGGAGACTTAAGAAACGCTATTATAAGGGCTGCAAATCACACCAAATCCGTGCAAATGCACACTAAAACCGTGCAAATGCACACTAAATCCGTGCAAAGACATACGAAATTCGTGCACATGCACACCAAGTTCGTGCTAATACACACGAAATCCATGCAAATACACACTAAATCCGTGCAAATACACGCCGAATCCATGCAAACACACACTAAATCCGTGTAAAGACACACACTAAATCCCTCTAACTACACACCAGGTACACAGTAAATGCGTGCAAATACACACGGAATCTGTGCAAATACACACTCAATCCGTGTAAATCCACACACTAAATCCCTGTAATTAGACACCAAATACTGCGTGCAAATACTCAGGCTCCCTGCAAACACACGCTAAATGCGTATAGATACACACCAAGTCCATGCAAATACACACTAAATTCGTGCAACTACACAGGACATGCGTGCAAATACAACACACGGAATCCGTGCAAGTACATGTAAATCCGTGCAAATACACATCAAATCCATGCAAATACGTTCTAAATCCCTGCAAATATACACGGAATCCGTGCAAATACACACTAAATCTGTAAACACGCATTAAAAAAGAAGGCTTCAACAAAGGCTTAGCTAATAAAGCTTTGAATGCGGCTTAATTGAGCAGTTGCTGAGTCATGCAATTGTAATCCTTTGGAAGCATCGTGCCCATCCACGTGCTGGTGATGTGACGGTTATGATTAGGAAACGTTCTTTTCCATGCTAGTAAGATTCGTATCTGAGTTTCATCATGAATTGTTGTTCCGACAGTCTGACGGCAGTACTTTGCTTAATGTGATGATGATGAGGAGGATGATGAGGAGGATGAGGATGAGGATGAAGATGCTTATAATGATAATGATGATGTCGATGTCGAAGGTTTGGAGCAGCCATTGCAGCCATGTCTCATCTTCCATCCGGTCAATGCACGCTAGCTCATTGTTGTGGGAGTGGTAGCAGTTCGTAGTTGTCGTCGTAATAGGAGGAGTAGATTTAGTGAGAAGTAACAGTAGTCGTAGTCATCGCAGTGGTAGTAGTAGTAGTAGTAGTGGTTGTTGTTGTAGTGACAACAAGAACAGCAGCAGCAGCAGTGGTAATTAGTGGCAGTGGTAATTGGTGGTAGTGGTGGTGGTAGAAGTAGTCGTCGTCATCGTAGTACAAGGAATAGTACAAGTAGTAGTAGTAGCAGCAGGATCAGTAGTAGTAGTACTAGTAGCAGCAGCAGCAGCAGTAGTAGTAGTCGGAGAAATAGCAGTAGTAGTAGTAGTAGTAGTAGTAGTAGTAGTCGGAGAAATAGCAGTAGTAGTAGTGGTAGCAGTCGCAGCAGTAGCAGCAATCGCAGCGGCAGCAGGAGCAGGAGTAGTAGTGGTATTGTCAATAGCAGGAGTAGAACATCCGCAGCATCAGCACCAATAGCATTTGGGCAAAGGGGCATGGGAAAGTGGGAATGGGTGGGTTTTGGTGGGTTTGCGCGGTTTTCGGCGGGTTTGGTTGTGCTCTTGGCGGTTTTTGGTCATTTCAAAATTTCGATTCTGGATGGGGAACGGGCCCAAAAGGACACCGCCAGAATTGGGCCTGCGACCGTGCCCAAACCCCCTAGGGAGGCCCAACCCTCAGAACTATCTGGCCATGGCCTAATGGGTAAACGTCTGCCTCCAAAGCCCTCCTAGCAAAGGTCGCGGCCTCAATCCCCGAGGGTGTCATTTGGGCACTTTCCCCACCCGGAATCGAGATCTTGGGGTGACCTGAAGCTCTGGGCTCTCTGGAGACTTAAGAAACGCTATTAAAAGGGCTGCAAATCACACCAAATCCGTGCAAATGCACACTAAAACCGTGCAAATGCACACTAAATCCGTGCAAAGACATACGAAATTCGTGCACATGCACACCAAGTTCGTGCTAATACACACGAAATGCGTGCAAATACACACCAAATCCATGCAAATACACACTAAATCCGTGCAAATACACGCCGAATCCATGCAAACACACACTAAATCCGTGTAAAGACATACACTAAATCCCTCTAACTACACACCAGGTACACAGTAAATGCGTGCAAATACACACGGAATCTGTGCAAATACACACTCAATCCTTGTAAATCCACACACTAAATCCCTGTAATTAGACACCAAATACTGCGTGCAAATACTCAGGATCCCTGCAAACACACGCTAAATGCGTATAGATACACACCAAATCCATGCAAATACACACTAAATTCGTGCAACTACACAGGACATGCGTGCAAATACACACCAAATCCGTGCAAATACACACAGAATCCGTGCAAGTACATGTAAATCCGTGCAAATACACATCAAATCCATGCAAATACGTTCTAAATCCCTGCAAATATACACGGAATCCGTGCAAATACACACTAAATCTGTAAACACGCATTAAAAAAGAAGGCTTCAACAAAGGCTCAGCTGAAGCTTTGAATGCGGCTCAATTGAGCAGTTGCTGAGTCATGCAATTGTAATCCTTTGGAAGCATCGTACCCATCCACGTGCTGGTGATGTGACGGTTATGATTAGGAAACGTTCTTTTCCATGCTAGTAAGATTCGTATCTGAGTTTCATCATGAATTGTTGTTCCGACAGTCTGACGGCAGTACTTTGCTTAATGTGATGATGATGAGGAGGATGATGAGGAGGATGAGGATGAGGATGAGGATGCTTATAATGATGATGATGATGTCGATGTCAAAGGTTTGGAGTAGCCATTGCAGCCATCTCATCTTCCATCCGGTCAATGCACGCTCGCTCATTGTTGCGGTAGTGGTAGCAGTTAGCAGTTGTCGTCGTAATAGGAGGAGTGGTTGTTGTAGTAGTGATAACAAGAATAGCAGCAGCAGCAGCAGGAGCAGCAGTGGTAATTAGTGGCAGTGGTAATTGGTGGTGGTGGTGGTGGTGGTAGAAGTAGTCGTCGTCATCGTAGTACAAGGAATAGTACAAGTAGTAGTAGTAGCAGCAGGATCAGTAGTAGTACTAGTAGCAGCAGCAGCAGCAGTAGTAGTAGTCGGAGAAATAGCAGCAGTAGTAGTAGTAGTAGTAGTAGTAGTAGTAGTCGGAGAAATAGCAGTAGTAGTAGTGGTAGCAGTCGCAGCAGTAGCAGCAATCGCAGCGGCAGCAGGAGCAGGAGTAGTAGTGGTATCGTCAATAGCAGGAGTAGAACATCCGCAGCATCAGCACCAATAGCATTTGGGCAAAGGGGCATGGGAAAGTGGGAATGGGTGGGTTTTGGTGGGTTTGCGCGGTTTTCGGCGGGTTTGGTTGTGCTCTTGGCGGTTTTTGGTCATTTCAAATTTCGATTCTGGATGGGGAACGGGCCCACGGGGACACCGCCAGAATTGGGCCTGCGACCGTGCCCAAACCCCCTAGGGAGGCAGCCGCCAACCCTCAGAACTATCTGGCCATGGCCTAATGGGTAAACGTCTGCCTCCAAAGCCCTTCTACGTCCCCGGGGTTGTCATTTGGGCCCTTTCCCCACCCGGAATCGAGATTTTGGGGTGACCTGAAGCTCTGGGCTCTCTGGAGACTTAAGAAACGCTATTAAAAGGGCTGCAAATCACACCAAATCCGTGCAAATGCACACTAAATCCGTGCAAAGACATACGAAATTCGTGCACATGCACACCAAGTTCGTGCTAATACACACGAAATGCGTGCAAATACACACCAAATCCATGCAAATAAACACTAAATCCGTGCAAATACACGCCGAATCCATGCAAACACACACTAAATCCGTAAAGACATACACTAAATCCTTCTAACTACACACCAGGTACACAGTAAATGCGTGCAAATACACACGGAATCTGTGCAAATACACACACTAAATCCCTGTAATTAGACACCAAATACTGCGTGCAAATACTCACGATCCGTGCAAACACACGCTAAATGCGTATAAATACACACCAAATCCATGCAAATACACACTAAATTCGTGCAACTACACAGGACGTGAGTGCAAATACGCACCAAATCCGTGCAAATACACACGGAATCCGTGCAAATACATCTAAATCCGTGAATCCGCGCAAATACATACTAAATCCGTGCAAATACACACTGAATCCGTGCAAATACACACTAAATCCGTGCAAATACACAAATCCGTGCAAATACACACTAAATCCGTAAAAACGCATTAAAAAAATAGGCTTCAATAAAGGCTTGGCTCATAAAGCTTTTCATGCGGCTCAATTGAGCAGTTGCTGAGTCATGCAATTATAATTCTTCCCCCTAAACCCTCAATCTGTAGACCCTAAACCTTCCCCCTAATTCAAATTAGGGTTTAAAGGGCGGTGCTACTTCCGGGTGGATCGGGGGAAAAGTGTTTTTATAATTAGGGGTCTGTTTATTGTTTGGGGGAAGCGATTATGTGGCAGTTCGGAAAATCTTATAATCGCACAACCTACGGACAAAGGAGGAATCGCCGGTGGGAGCCAGCCGGAGCGGTGTTTTAAAGAGGGTGGTGATCCAAGGGCGCGGAGCCCTGTGGAGGGGGCCGTTGCACGGGGGGGGGCAGTGGGGATGACCAAACGGGGGGATGCCATTGGGGGGTAGGTTGTAGGCAAACATGTACATATACAGAATACAAGCACATATGTACAGAAATGTATACATATGTATACATATATATATATATATATATACACATACATACATGCATACATGCAGACATACAAGCATGCGCACATCTATGCATGCATGCATGCATGCACGCATACGTACATACATACACTTGGCATACATACATACGTACATACACACGCACACAGACAGAGACTTTTGACTTTGAGAACGCTGCCAAGTCGTCCAGGGCCTCGCGAGGTCACTGAAACAGGCATATATCATTGCCCGGCCAACTGTTGTGGCGTGTTGCTTAACACTCTCGCAAGCACTGCTGCGCACAATATGCCCGGCTGCAGTCCGACGGCTTTGGATTTAACCGAACCACTGGTGTGCAGCATTCAAGAATCACGATTGTGAGGAACAGCAAGGTTCGCATCGGTACACTGGTAGAGGAGTACATAGCACGTAGTTGGAGCTAGTTTCTTCAAGTTAGAACCGGAAATGAGCTCAGCCGATCGAGCATCGTCGGTCAAATGACAGGTGCCGTCATCACCAACAAGCAAGATCTGATAGTGACCACTCGTCGCAAGCTCTCCCCTTTGAATGACAAGACAGACAGACAGACAGACAGACAGACACAGAGACAGAGATAGGTAGACAGATAGACACAGACACAGACAGACAGACAGACAGACAGACAGACAGACAGACAGACAGACACAGACAGACACATACCGACAGAAAGACACAGACACACAGACCCACAGACACAGGCAGGCAGACACAGACAGACATGCGTGCATGCATACAGACATACTTGCACACAAGCATGCATACATGCGTACATACAGATAGATACACACAGAAGCCTCTGTATGTGTTGAGGGACCTTCACGTCAACCCTACCACATCTTTAGGATAACACTACCACATCTTGAAGAGGTTGCCTTTTCTGTGCTCGGGTCCTCAGCCGCAAAAAGTTCGGCCACATGCAGATTGTTTCCGTGTCCTTTGGTTGAATACAGGGACTTAAGTAAGCACCCAGATTATACCTTAGGGTTCCAGATGCCCCAACAACCCTTTCTCATTTCTGGATATTACATGGACCCTCTGGGGGGTAATACTAGACTTATACAGCGAGCTATATTCAAACAACCCTACATTGAGGCGCTTCGGGGTCCCTGCAGGTTGGAGCCATCGCGGAAGGCTGCAGGCAACTGCTGACGGCTGGGTGTTTCTGGACCGGTAGGGTTTGAGACTTTTTTGGGGCTTAGGGTTTCCTAGCTGCTGTTGTGACTGTGGGAGATACGCGTTCGAGTTTCCGCAAGCACTAGTGCCGAATAGCAGTGTATACCCTTGATATAAATAAACTGCATTTCGTTCAGGCCCTTATATTTGTGTCCCGATGTGTAATTCATCAGAGGCCAACTTACATTCCACCATGTACATGTAGGGACGCAGGGTTCATCAAAGTTCAGCATTTAGAAGGCCAGATTCTACTCGATTGAAAAACGGATGTCTGTGGGGATTGTAACGGGGTCTCTGATAGGGATGTGAATGAGTCCTGCCCTGCCTTTCAGGGTTGAGCATTGAGGATGTTTGGTTCCGGGTGCATGATCATGGTGGCGTCTACTACAGGGCTCGTGCAAGAGTATGATGTCTTCCTAAACAAGAGCATCACGTACGATTGGCATAGCACTCTACTCGGCTATGCTTTTTCACAAGCCTGTTGGAAGCCCTTCTGCGCGCATCAGACAAGCGGCATGGTAAGGGCTCCCAAACCGCAGCGTACTCAACCGAGCATCGTTGTGGATTACCAACAAGCTTGTACTCCAAACCTTTCTCAGTGTAGGGATGCCAAGATGGATCTTGCAATGAGGTTGTCTTTGCCAACTTGCAGCCTCACGGAGACGCTAAAGGAGCACCCCAACATCGTCGAGTGTGTCGTCAGCTATGCGAAGAGGCCGTACGCCCTACACCCTAATAGACGTTAAATCCTAAACCCTAAAACCCCAAACCATTCTTGTTCAGAGAGTAACTGTTTTAGGACTTTGATGCAGTTCTGCAAAGTTTTACCTCTGTACTGGGAGAGTCAGGGTTGAGGGTTTCGGGGTTTCAGGGTTTCGGGTATCAGGGTTTCGGGACAAGTAATACTATTCCGTAGTGTCCTCGATTACGAACCTAGCAGAATACATATATATATATATATATATATACATATATGCATATGTATATATACATACATATATATATATATATATATATATTCTCCCAAAACCCTACTCTACTTATGAAGACCCCTATACTAAACCTTTAACGTTCCCCTTTAAAAGTGAGCCTTTGAAGGAACCCTATTTTAGTCGTTATGGCCCCTTATTCGGACATTCAGCGACAATCTTTTCCAACTCTTATACAGTCAGTTCTGAGAAGAGGGAACCCCGTGACAAAATGCCTGAACGCTTGCTTTTGAATGTTAGGGTCCATTATCAACGAAGGGCCCGGTTATGCACAGGTATGCTGAACAAATGAATCTCTTGGCGGAGATCAACGATGACAAGCTGTCAGATCTTCCTTTCAGTATCTGCGGATTGCATTGGCATTTTTCCGAACTCTAAAGTAGCATGTCGATCAGGCATCGTGACCTGCACTGATCTCCGCCGCAGCCAGCTAGACCGCGTGCTCCGAGAACCTGCCTTTTCCGACTCTGTGCCTTAGCACTCCGACATCTCAGTTTTTTGGGGCTGATCAGGGCTTAGTACACAAGTTCAAACTACCGCTCGCGCCGTTGTGGATTCTGGCTCTTTTCTGGATTGCCAATGCTGTGGTCTGTCATGCTAGCGCACTGATGTTGACTGGTTGTTGTCTCCTTGTCTGCATTCGCTGCTGTGACCAACGGCAGTGCGAATCTGTGCCTAACTGCACTGCCATCATGCTTGCGTAGCAGCTTGCTTCTTGGCATGGTCCTTGATTTCGCAAGCCTAGCGCCGCCATGAGAAGTGTCGTTGCTGCCTTGATGTCGCACGTGCGTTGGTAGTTGTAGTTCTTCTGTCGTCATGACATTATATGCTGTGAACACGGACCCAGAGTCCTTTTGCAAGTCACGCAGGCTCCTGAATAATTTCCACTGTGTGACCATTTTGCGTTGGCTCTTTGATTCTTGAAATTGTTTGCATTGAAGGTGGCCGCTGTGGTTCTCAACCACGTTGCTCCTTGTTCCGTTCCTTCTGGCTGAGGGTGCTTCCAGAGCCGGTCCACCCGTCATTACATCCTTAAGACATGATAATCTGGCAAGGTTGCCGGGCTCGCCTGCGTCCGGGCTAAAGCACAAAAGTGCCTTAGTTCTGGTTCTGCAGATGTTTTTTTGTATTTGGTGGTCCTCGCGCGTGCTGTTTTTATGCAGGATCACAGCTTGTGGGAGAGCAACACTCTCAGGCCTCCAAAAGCTAAGCAATGAAGTTATTTGTCCGAGCCTCCGACTACTACTGCTGCTGTTACTGGTACCTGGTACTGCTACTGCTACGGCTACCTAATGCTGCTTCTACTGCTACGGCTACTGCTACTGCTACGCACTGCTACTGCTACGTACTGCTTACTAATCTTTCAATACGGCCTTCAACACCGTACGATTTACAGCATAGACTTTGTTCCATGAGAGTCTCTCCCTCCCTCTCTCCTGAATTTCTCTCTGAAGAAGCTGATATCACAGCTTCTTGCAGAGGACCCGCAGACTCCAAAGCCCCTCAGTGAGGGAATCTCGACTTTAAATGCTTGGGCTTAGGGTCGAGGGTTTAAGACTTAAGCATACAGTATTTCAGCATATGCCTTACTGATATACCTTGAGTCATTGGGTGTAGGGCTTATGACAAGTTTGATGTATATAATTTCTTACGGGAGGGGTCTCGGAGTCTGTGGGGAGCTCCCGGTCCAGGTCCTGGACGAGAATCCTGCGAATCTTTGCTCTGATATTTAACCAGACTCTGAATTGGATTTTGGCCAGGTTAGGGTTTATGGTTTTGTAGTGCCTCCTCTTGGCCAACTGAGTTTTGCGTAGGGGGTCCTAGCACAGACATCTGTGTTAAGCAAAGAAGGTACTACAATTCAGGGTCTATACAGTGAAGCCCAGAAAGTTGGAACATTTATTTAGGATGATTAGTGCTAGGATTCCCTCTGCTATACCTTAAGGTCATGGGGAAATTGATGTTCCAACTTTCTCTGGCTTCTGATTCAGGTGTCACCTGAACTTTAACCCGCCGGTATGTTGTATACATGTGCGTCAACGTTTTTTTCCGCGGCATACCCTTGGAGAGTTCGGAGAGCCAAGTGGAATCTGAAGGAACCCTGAGCACTAACCCTAAAAGTTTTGCTGGGCCGTTTCCTGGGCTTCGAGCGAGCTTTCTCCACGTCTACCAGTGTCTACCAACTGCGCAATGGGCGCTGATGCCAGGCGGTAGGGTTTGGGGTTTAGGGCGTGCGTTAGGCCAGCTCTGTGCAGGGATTTGTATACATCACTGAGGCCCACCAGGGGTTGAGAGTGGATTAAAGTTCGCACCCGAAGCCTTGATTCCAGATTCCGGGTCTCTTGACTCTTCCCCCGGCTTCTTTGGCCTCCTGCACTCAATGCATGATACAGTCTCAATTTTCGCCATCTTTGACGAATGTCAGGCGGCTCTCATTGGAATCATGTTCTGATTCCCTGAGATATTCTCCGTTTGCAGAATCGTTGACTGAATGTCCGATGGCTCCTGCCTTCAAATCCGACTTTGTGGACACTGTTGCTGGTGGTTTGGGGTACCCCGGCTTCCTCCAGTAGTAGTAGTAGTAGTAGTAGTAGTAGTAGCAGTAGTAGTAGTAGTAGTAGTTGTTGTAGTAGTTACAAGTACCAGTACCAGTGGCCGGAGAAGTGGCGGCCGCAGTGGTAGTAGTGGTAGTAGCGGCAGGAGCGCTAGTAGAGGTAGTGGTAGTATTATTGTGCTGAGTAGTAGAAGAAGAAGTAGAAGTAGATGTGGAAGTAGAAGCAGAAGCAGAAGCAAGCATTGAAGCAGAAGTAGTAATCGTCGTCGTAGTCGTAGTCGTAGTGGTACTAGTGGTAGCAGCAGCAACGGTAGCAGCGATAGCAGTGGTTGTAGTAGTGGGGGTTGCTGGCAACCAAGAGTAGATAGCTGTGATGTCTACCCATCTTCAACGGTAGCCATGTGCTGCCAGTTCACCCGGTGCAGGGTTTAGGTCGGTGATGAGTGAGAACGCCGTGCTGTGATCTAAGTGTGCTTGATGGAACATCCTCCCAGGGATCCAAGTTCAAGGACGCCGAGATTGGGTTGAAAATGAATTTTACAGTTGAAGACTGTTCGGGGAACACCTGTCTTCATCAGCCTCGAAGGGTTCAGGGTTTGGGTTTAGGGTTTTAGGGTTTCGGTTAGGGCTTAGGGTTTCCTAACTGTTGCTGTGGTAGTGATTCAGTGATAGTGAGTCAGCAACCTTGCACTTCAAGCCATGGTCTTTGTAGGGGCCTGTCCTTTCTACTGGTAGAGAAATATCAAGCGTGAATCTACTGGCCGGAATATTGAATAGAACTGCCCCTCACAGTTCCGAGTACATGTATAGTTATTGTATACCAGAAACCCTAGTCTAATTATGTTACGGCCTGCATACAACGTATGACTGTTCCTGTATGGGCCTTGGTTCGCAACTTGTCTCGCGAAGTCTGGTCATTGCAATAAAAGTCTCACGTATTTGGCCGGCCTGCAGCAGACGGGCAAGCTGCAACCTCCTCAAATGGAGGATGACAATCCGGATGGCAGCTTCTGTTTGCAATGTGGATGCAACAACGGAAACGCCGTGTGAATGTGGATGAGGACAGGGTGCATTTTGCTATTACGGGCCTTGAAAGGTACAGAGTCTATATAGTTTTACCAGCTCAGGGCAACTCAAAACCGGTATGTCAGGCTATCCTCTAGTTGAGCCATGGCCCTCATGTGTTCATGCTTAATGTTGGAATGCTTAATTTTGGGGCGGCCCGCTTAAGACATCTGCATGAACCTGGGTGCAAGAATGGCTGGGTGAACATACACTAGAAACCATGTGGAGGGCGTGCCGTGCAGAACCTAACCTGTGACATGCAATCTCCGGGTCCGTGGTGGGTGCAGTTCATCATCATCACCATCATCGTCAGGGATGTGAGGCTATAGGCAACAGCATTGTGTGTGTGTGTGTGCGGTTTTCAGCGCTGCATCTTGTTACACTCGAGAATCGGCTCTTGGACATTTAGAGTTTGTCTCCACGGCTGCAAGCTACACTCCTATAACACACATCGGTGGAGGGTTTGGGGATGTTTGGGGTCAGAACAGCCAACGCTGTTCCCAGCTGCCTGTCTCCAGCAGAAACCGGTGTCGGGCGGAGTTTGTGAAAATGCAGGCAGGTGTCCGCCGGCCTAGGAAGCCCCTCTTGCAGTCAAAAGTCCCAAGATCTACTCCCGAGTCTGGCGGAGCCGATATCTCCCAAACCCAAACCCTGGGCCTGTTTAGGGTTTGAGGGTTTTTTTTTGGGAGGGGGGGGGTTCGAGCTTATGCACCAAAACCCTGAGGCCCTAGACGACCAGGAGGGTTAAGTTGTAGGCTTTAGGGCGCTAGCAGAGACCTCGCTTGTGATGCCGCTTCAGCCATGAATCTGACTGACTTAACCTCCAGAACCTCTATAAGTATTCAGAACGGTATTTCACCCACAACCCTCGCGAAGGTTTTGACAAGCTTTGAAGAAGCCTGGACAACACATAAAAAGCGTGAGCAGCCTTTGAGGTGTTCGCTTCAAGAATGTGGCATAGGCTCTTCCAAAGTTCAATCCCGCCCTTCACGAGCCTGACAGCAAAACCAGCCTTTGACGAGCCTTCCACATGCCAGTGCGCCACGCGTGGCTCGTGCTAGCAACATTTCATAGAACTGAAATTCAGAAGTTGAAACAAAAGCATTCTGTAACGGCTCCGTTTCTTTTATCCAAGCGAGGCGTCTCGCAACTACTGCCACATTCAGGCCACTTCCAGGAACTACAACATTGAACAGCATCCTGCATCATTATGACCCTATACGGCTACGGTTTCTGTTGCTCAAATGTCAACGCCAAACACACTTCTTCCTTCTCCCATCATGGGAGCGGGTGAGCATGTGCATATGCAAGTGTAGTCTGTATGTCTGAATGTCTGCGGGTCTGTATGTATGATAAAGGGTTCGTTGTTTGCACAGATGCTAAGAGACTTGAATGCATATTGAGTTGGGCTCGACACTGCCTTGTTGGAGATGCAGCCTTAAAACCTGCAATCCCAAGTCGTCCGAATGACACCATTTAAACCCAGAGTCCGGGAATGCCTCGAACACCGACAACATGCGCACTTCAATCCAACGGACTTCGGAGTACCCATAAGGCATTGAGTTTAGGGTTTCAGGATTTTGAGCTTGTGTTTTTTCAGGATTGGGGTTTATGGTTCCGGTGTGCTTTGAATATTTGATGCCTTCTTTGCTACAGACCGACGAGAAAGCCTTGTTTCAAGGAGCTGCAGAAACCGTAAGCCTCATGAAACCCTAAAGCTTAAACCCCGAACCCCCGTAAGTGTACAGCGGTGTCTTCTTCATGCTAATGACCCGTTCCGTGGCATTGCAGCTCAAGCTCAATCAACACGGGGTGGCTTCAGGAAGGTAGCATCCTGGACTTCGGTATGTTTTGTCTCGGGGTTAGGGCCGGCAGAAACTGCCATAAAGTTTAAAATCAGATTTTACCCAAAAGGCTTGATGTTGGAGTTTAAGGACTCGACCTCTGACCTACAGCCCGAAACCCTGAGCCTTGAAATTCCCCTAAGACCCTTGCGTTTAGAAGTGGGGTAGATCTTAGAGCCATAAACACCTCAATCCCCAAATCCTGAAACGCCAATCCCTCATCGTCTCTTCATCATAAGTTCGCGATTGGGGTGTAGGGTTTAGGGTTCAAGGTACCCAAGGCCCCCATGAACTCTAGGCCGTAGATTGAGAGTTCACGGAGTTTCGGGTTTATGTAGCAGGTTTTGGTTTTGGAGAAAGAAGTGCCGATAGGATCCTAATACAGGCCACCAACAAAATCTCAAGCTTACAAAGACAGCCTACGAAGATGGCTCCTCGTTTGGACGGGCGCGCGCCTGGCACTCAAGCTGCGGCTTCAGACATTCAGAACTTTGGGCGAAGGCGGTTTTGGGGTGTAAGCCTGTTGCAGCAAAGACTCCTGCTTCCCAGCTCTATAGACGCTTTGCTTGGCCT